TGTCCGCGGGACACCGAGGGGCCGGCCCTGGCCGACCTCGCCGTTCTGGGACCTGCTGGGCGGTGGGGGCGCGTCGGGGGTGCTGTGTGGACAGCAGGCACACCCTGGGGGCCTCGCAGCAGCCCTTAGGACGCTGTCTGCCGGGACACTTGACTGTGGGCAGCGCGGCCGCTGCTGCTGGGGCGGGCGTGTGCCACGGCGCGTGCGGCCCGGTGCTGCGTGAGAAACATGTTCACCTCGCAACCGAGACCGGCTCGCTGATGGAGGCCTCGGGGACGCCCTTCCTGCTGGCTTCCGGGGGTCTGCACGTGTCTGAGGGAGACTGCCCCCCTTGGAGCCCAGCTCTTGCCAGCAGGGTGCTGCGCAGCCCAGGCCCCCACGGCCCGTCCGCCCTGCCGCAGACCCAGAAGCCCCGGACCCCGGGGCCCCGATCCGCCTCCCCCCATCGCCCCCGGGCCAGGGCTTTCCCGCTGGCGGCTGCGCGGAGAAGCCCGTGTCGCCCGCTCTCGTTCCAGAATGGCCTGTGGGAAGGCAGCTGGGGGCTCCCACACAACTGAGGTGCGCCCCCCGGGCCGTGCTGCCGCCTCCCCTGCAGGGGCTGGGCCCGCTGGGCACAGACAGACGGCCAGGCCCGGCCCCGGCATCAGCCTCCCGACCCGGGCAGCCTCAGTGGCTGGGAAAGGGCACCGCCCAGCCGTGTTTGGCCGGCCAAGGCCACCCCTCTGCTGGCTCCAGCCGCCTGTGGATCGGGGGCACCTGCCACCGGGTAGGGCCGGGTGGCGGGGCTGACTGGGGAGGCATGCCCAGGCTTCCGTGAAGGGAGGCTGTCCAGCCAGGCCCCCTCTGTCCCCTCTGCCGGGCCCAGAGCCCCGGGTGGGGGTCAGGGTCTCCACCCGCCTGCCACGGCCCAGGCTCTCTGGACTCTGAGGTGTCCTTGGGGCCTCCCAGGTCCAGACAGCTCGGCTTTGGGCCCTGAGGCGCTTGCTGTGGGGCCTCCGATCTTCCACCCTCACTTCCTGCCCAGCCTGGACTGAGGGGCCTGCCGCCCCTGGCCAGGGCAGGTGAAGCCAGCCCAAATCCACACACGTCCTGGCCCTCAGGCCGATCCCAAAGGCTGCCGGGGGCCCAGAGCCACAGGAGCAGCACTCCCAGCTTGGCTTGCGGAAGGCCGCTCTGGGTGGAAGCCGCCGGGCGGGGCTCGGTTCCCAAAGGGGGCAGGGGGCACCAGGCCAGGGCCCCACCCTTGTGGCCTGCGTCCCCAGGCAGCGGTGTGTGCGGGCTGCTGGGCTCGCTGGGCCTCCGAGGTGCAGGCCCATGGGGGCAGGAGGGCTGCGCCGGGGACACAGTACCCGGAGCCCACCCTGCCCGGCAGCCAGCAGGGCGCTCATCCGCACCTGTGCCCGGTGGTGTGGCCCAGGATGAAGACCGCAGCTGCCAGCACCGTGGCCGCAGGGCCCAGCTGCAGGGCCTCCTGGAGGCCATGGGTGGGGGCGCACGTGAGCCCCAGGCAGGCCCCACTTGGGTGGGCGTGGGCGGCCCTGGAGGCGTCCTGACACAGCAGGGGAGGCGTGGGGCCTCACCCATCCCAGCCGGAGCCCTGGGGTGCTGGCCACAGCCCACACGCTGACCTCCGAGCCACCTGCTGTGCTGGCTGCTGTGCCCATGGGCCTGCATGTCACTCCCTACGGGGTGCTGTGGGGGGGAGCCGGAGGGCTTTACCTGGGGGCGGCGCCCAGCTCCCGCAAGGCTTCCACTCGGCTGCCCTGGGTCACCCTGCAGTGGGCGCCCTCCACCCCTGGGAGGCTGCTACTGCGCCTCGCCCTCAGGAATGTGAGGCCCCGGGGCTGTGCGCGGGCCGCTGCCACCTGAGAGACGGCTGTGGGTCCTCGGCCAGGGCCTGCCTTTCCGCCCCTCTGAGCAGAGGCGGCCAGGGCGGCGCAACCCGGGCTCTTTGCTGGTGGGGAGAGACCAGGCCTTTGGGACGCTCGCAGGTCTACGGTGGCCCCCACTTGCCTGTGGCAGGAGCCAGGGCTTAGGGCCACCAGGCCAGAACTGGGGAGGTAGACAGCCAAGCTCCTCGCTTCTGGGGCCTGACTTTGCTCAGGGGACCCAGATTCAAGGGCCCAGCAAGTTGCTTAACTGCCAGAAGCCACCCTGAGATCCCCGTCAGCCTCCAAGCTAGTCCCGTCCCAGGCTCGGGGGGAGGGGCCTGTCGGAGGCCACTGCCTGTCAGTGGGGCCCTGCCCGTGGCAGCCCTCAGGCCGGTCCGAGCCCAAAGAGGCGGCGTGCTGCTGCTGCGCAGGCATGAGCCGTGGGGAGCCGTGGCTGGCTCTTAGCTGCCGGCCTGCTGGCCCTGTGTCTCCCTTCCAGGGCCAGTAATGCTCCTGGCAGTGATGTTCCCCAGGCTAAGACGAGCTTAGTTGCTCTGGCCCTGCTCTCCTGAGGGTGCCCAGCAGGGGCCTGCAGCCCCAGCGTGCAGGGGCCCTTCCTGCAACCTGCCACTTGCTCCTGCCTGGTCCAGGCTGGCGCTGCAGCAGCCATATTGCTGCCCAAGTGTCCAGAACAGCTGCCCTGCTGGGGCTGAGTCTCCCCAACCACACCAGCTGCCCACCTACGGGCTTCTGGCATGCAGTAGGCACCTTTACGGATGTGAGTGGTGCCGGTGTTTTGGTGGGACAAAGCCTGGTGAGTGCCCAGAGCTGGGCACTCTGGCTTCACTCACTGCCTGCAGTGGCTGCCCAGCCCCCGTGGGAGCGCCTGGCAGGTGACTCAACACTGGGTGCCCCGGGGGGACTCCACCTGCTGGGCTCTGAGGCCAGGGGCTCCACCTGCCTTAAGTCCCTTCAGCTCCAACACGCCTCCCAGGAGCCCACACCTCACAAAGGGCAGTTCCCAACTGCCCGGTGACTGGTCAGCAGGCTCTGAGGTGAAAGGCAGTTTCCAGCCTTAAGGGGAAAGGGAAGCGGAGAGACCCACTAGGGGCAGGAGGGGGAAGAAAGGGGCCTGGTGCCCCCAAGTGGCAGTTTGAGCCCAGGTCTTTGCTGGGAGGGCGCGGCCAGGCGTCCCCTCCGCTGACAGCGCTCCACTCCCACCCCGCGCCTCTCCCGCCGGCCACTGCTGCCCAGACCCACCTCCTTTCGGGCTGCGCGGGGAAGTGGCATCCCACCCCGGCTCTTACCTGCCGTTTTTCTGCAGATGGCAGCCGGGCAGGGCGGGCTCAACGCGGGGGCGGGGGGAGGGTGGCCAAGGGGCTGAGTGGGGGGCGGGGCCCTGCGAGAGGCACGGACTTGGGGCCCCAGGCCTCTGGGACGACAGTGGAGGACGTGCACTCTGTGGCGCGAGGGTCTCTGAGGCGACACGTCGCAGGCTGCGTGGACCGCAGGGGCACGTGGCCTCGGGCCGCAGGGAGGAGACGAGGAGAAACGAGATAGCAGGGTTGAGGCCCCGCGGGACAAAGTTGCGGCCCAGCTGCAGGGGGGAAAGGGCCGCACCCCAGGCCCACACCACCCTCCTGGGAACCCCCTCGGGCTAGAGGCAGGCACGAGGGCAGTGGGCGGCGTGGCAGGGGCGGGGAAGCCCAGATCACGCCCTCATTCAGCAGGTGTTGCTGCGGCGCGGGGTACCCGGGACAGACCTGAGCCCACGAGCCAGCGCCTGCCTTCCTGGCTGGGGCAGAGGCACTGCCCCCCGCGCCCCTCCCAGGGGCCCCTGCCTCGTCAAGGCAGCAGGCGGGGCACCCTGGCAGCTCCAGGAGTGAGGTCCCACGCCCACAAGCCCGGGCAGGAGCACCCCTTCAGTAGCTCAGTGGGTTCTCCCCAGGAAGGAGCCCCGCTCGACTGCTGTGCTGACCCCCCAAGGTGAGTTTCGGAATGGGGGTGTCAAGGAGTCCCGAGCCGCTCTTGAGGAGGTGAGACAGTGCAAAGGGGTTCATTCTGCACCAGAGCATCGGGCGCCAGGTGCAGCCTACTTGGAGACTGGCTTCTTGAGCTTGCCGGGGGCAGATGCGACCTCCGTCTGGTGCGGGGGGGGCACCTTGACCCCCTTCTGTTTCAGCTGGTTGTAGTAATCGGACCTCTCGGAGATGATGGTCTAGGAGAGAGGCCGGGTGGGCCAGCCGCCCTCACCTGCCGCGGCCGCGCTCGCGGGGCACCCGGGCTGCAGGGGACACTTCACAGCCGCAGTGGGCCCGCTGGGCTCTGCAGTGGCCACCCGGTCCCAGGTGGCTGAGGCAAGGCCAGTCAGGCTCCTCTGGGTCAGCTCACCCCGCCCCCCCTGCTTCCCCTCCCCTTCACGCCGCCCCCGCCAGCCCAGTTCCCAGCAGCCAAAGCCTGAGCCCCCACCAGCACAGCCCTGTCGGGGAGCAGCGTGGCAGGTGCCCCGTCCCCAAGCGGCCAGGACCCAGGTCCCAGGGCCAGCAGAGAGGGTGCCTGGGCTGGCGCAGAGTCCCCAGTGCCAAGCAGGTCCCACCCAGGGTGCACCTGCCAGGGTCTGCCGCAGGGCCCCCGCTGGCTTTGAAGGTGAGCTGCCCCCCAGAGGGGCACCCAGGGCTCGGTCGGGTGGGCAGGCGTCACAGCCCGTAGGCAGGGGCGCACCCTACCCACAGGCCCCGCGCTGGCTGGGGAGGCGCCGGGGCCGGGGACGGGTCTGAGCTCGGCAGCGTGGGCCCGCGGGTGCTACGCCGAGGTGTGGGGAGCCCCGGCCGGGGGCCGAGGGGGAGGAGCCCCAGGACGCCCCTGCCACGAGCCCACACAGCGGCTCCGCACCCAGAGTGGCCAGAGCAAACATGGAGGTCCGACGCACAGTCAGGTGTGCCCCTGCCCGGGAGCCCGGCGGGGAGGCAGCCCGAACCTGCAGGGCCTCCAGGATGTCGCTGTCAGAGATCTCGTTGTTCATGGACTTGATCCCGGTGGTGCTGAAGGTGGCCTGGATGATCTTGCTTCTCAGCCTCTCGAGCTGCGAGCGGAGAGCGGCCAGGTAGCCCAGCAGGGAGGGTCCGGCCCCGCTCGCCCCCGCACAGGCCCTGCCGCCCACGTGTCCGCCGCCGGGCAAGGGGCCAGTGCAGAGGACCTGCTGGGGTGAGCCCTCCGCCCCGGGCCACAGCAAGGCCACCTGCCGCCCTGCGGACGGGGCTGCGACTTGGCCCGCAGGGAAAGCCGGCCTTTCCCCTGCGAATGGCCGCAGGGCTGGACGCAGGTGCTGCCCTCGCGGGGGCGTACCCGGGACTGGAAGCCCTCCAGGGCCACGCTGGCCTGCTGCTCGGCCTGCTGGACCATCTTCTGCTTGCTCTGCAGCTCCTCCTGCAGGTGCTTCCAGCGCTGCAGGTGGCGCTGCTGCAGGCTCGCCTGGTCCCGCAGCCGCCCCACCTCGGCCTCCAGCTCCGCGATGGTGCGCTCGCGCTTGCTCAGCTCCAGCTCCAGGTCCAGCACTTGCTGGCCAGAAGCGGGCGCAGGAAGGGCAGTCGTGCACCACGCCGCTCCGCCAGCCCCACCCCGCGCCCCGGAGGTGGGTGGGCTCTGACCGCACCGCACCGGGCAGGCCAGGCCCCACCGGCTGGCCTTTGTGGACCGGCGCCGCGGCCTCGCGGCCTCGGGCTCCAGGGGCCCTGCCTCACCTGGCGCAGCAGCAGGTTGTCCTCCTCGATGAGCCCCAGCATCTCCTCGTGCTTCTTCTCCTCCCGCAGGCTGGAGAACTGGAAGACACACGAGGGTTGGCCGGCGGCGGGAGCCGGCGGGACCCTGGGACCTCTCTCCCCGACCCCAGCCAGGGAGGGGCCTTCCGGGAGGAAGGGGGGGCGGGCAGGCAGGTGCGGGCGAATCTCAGCGGCAGCCGGCAAGGTGGGAAGTGGCGCTCCGCACTCTCGCAGCCCCAAGGCCTCTGGGGTGCTGGCCCAGCGCTCGCGGCCACTCAGGGGCCAAGACTTGCTGCTCGTGGGCAACTCTCCCAGCTGGCGGGAGACGGAGGTCTCGGCCCCCCGGTGCCAGGCCCTTCCAAGCCAGGCAGGGAGCCCCGAGTCGCCGCCTGACGCACGAGAGAAGGGGAAACACCCTGCCCGAGACCCCGCGCGCCCCGGGCGTGGCAGGGGGCGTCGAGCGCGGCCTCCCTGCGGTGGGAGCTGCGGGTGTGAAGGCGGAAGAGATGGGAGCCTGGCAATCAGGGTGGCTGCGGGTCTGGGCGGGAAAGACCAGGTGGGGGCGCCCGAGGAGAGGCGAGCGCAGAGGCGGGAAAGAGCCGCAAACCGGGAATGCCCGGCCGGGCCGCGCTTCGCTGCCTTTGGGGCCCAAGCCGACGACAGCAGCCATCTCTGCCATCTCCCAGGGAGGAGCCAGCACCCCCAAGAGGTTCGTGCACAAAAGCATGAGCATTAGGGTGCTGGGGTGTGGCGGCCGGGCGTGTGCAGTGCGGTGGGAAACTCTCCGGACGCGTCCCCAGAGCGCCGGGAAGGACACGCGGGCGGCTGCGCCCACCGCGCCCTGCTGACCTCGTCTCAAAAGAGACCAGAGGCTGTGGGGGGCCCCAGGGGTGCAGGGGTCAGAGCCCAGCACTGTCAGGCTGTCCACAGCCACCGTGGCGCGGGCGGGATCCCGGCTGGGGGTGACCCGTGGGCGCAGCAGACCCCTCCTGTCCCCAACGGCCCTCAGCAGTGTGTTTCAGTCTGCCTGCCCTGCTCCCCACTCTGTCTCTGGTGAAATCGTCTCACGCCCCCACCTCTGGCCTGCACCCCAGTCTGTGTGCATAAATAAATACTCTTAAAAAAAATGACTGGGGGGCCCTCCTGGTGGCGCAGCGGGTTAAAGCACAGAACTGAGGAAGATAAGGACACTTCCGGATGAGTTCGATCCCCGCCTGCCCCGGAGGTGACCCACATGGCGCGGCAGACCTCTCCTGACCCGCCCGCTGCCCCCCTCAGCAGTGGACTTCGTCGATCTGCCTGTTCTGCTCCCCGCTGTCTCTGGGGAACCCTCTCACCACCTCATCTCTGGCCTGTACCCCAGTTCTGTATGTACAAATAAATAAATCTTTAAAAAAAAAAAATGACTGGGGGCTGTGCTCCCAGCCAACAAAGGGGCGGGGAAAGGGTGTGGGCGTGGCCGGGTGGGCGGGGCCGGGTGGGCCGCAGCTCTGCGCCTGCTTTGGAATCTGGATACTATGTCACACGAGATCAGTGGGGGCCTCGCTGTGGGATGTGGGGAGCTCTAAAGCATGCTACAATGGAGAAAATTCTAGATGGGGCCTACGAGGTACTATCTAAAGATGTAAACAGACTCCCGGAGAAACACTGGAGGGGCGAACGCCCTGTCTGCGGGAGCAGCGGCAGCGGCTCGGCGCGGGCTGGCACCGGGAGCCTGGGGGCGCGGACTCTGCCCTCCGCGCCGGCACCTCCATGCGAGCGAAGCATGCTCAAGGAGGAGCGCCGGCCTTGGGGCAGCGGCGGCGAGGGGGCCCTGCGCCCTGCGTCCCCGGGCGGATGGGCGGGGTGTCGCCCGCGCTGCTGGGGCCAGGGGCACAGGACGGGCGGCCCCGCGCCCGCCGGGCGCGGCCACCTTGTGGGACATGGCCTGCAGCTGGTGCTTGCGCTCCCGCAGCTCCTTCTCCAGCATCTCGTTTTCCATGATGGTCTTCTGCAGCTGGGATTCCTGGAAATCCACTTGCCTTTGTAAAGACGTGATGGCGCCTGAGGGAGCAGCGGGCCAGGCGGGTGGGCAGGGCCGTGCAGATGCGCCGGCCGCCGCCCCTCGGACCC